CTCAGTGCCTGGATCTGCTGCCTCCCATTAGTGCTACCAGTTCTTTAGTCTCTGTGCTCAGGGTACTGCTGGACTCTTGGGCCATGGCAGATAGCCTCTGGCACCGAAAACTGTTACTGGGGTCTAACAGGAGCACATGATAAAGCCACATGATTGATCCATTCCTTTAATTTGGCCCTTTCTAGGCATGCAAATATACATGAGAACATGAGATGAGTATTGGTGTAGTTGTTGCTGATGTCAGAAAGACACCGATTGCTTCCGGTGGTGGGGAAAAGTGATAGTCTCCATGTAGTAGGGAAATCTGTGACCAATAACTCCTAGATAAAAGACTTTGTAACTCCCAAACAGAAGGTACTGAACTATAGCTCTTTCTTCCTTTTGGTTGGCTTTTAGCACCAGCAAAACCATCCAGGCAAAGATGGGAAGACAAGGATTTGAAAAAGTGTTTTTATGTAAGAATATGTTTTTTAAAAATCCACTATTTTTGCCACTTCCACTGAATACACTAGAATGTGACATAAAATGACTTGCTTTTAAATGTAGATGAAACCTTCTCTCAGAAAGGATTCAGGATTTTCACAATTCAGACATTTTTGGCAATGAAAGCCTATTTGTTTAATCTTCTGTATTTCACAACCATGCATGCAATGTGCATAGGTGTCTGTGCAATATTCACACACAAGCAGAAAACAGGAAAACCTGTGACTTCACTTAAATACTTCCTCACACGGATGAACAAGACCAATGATGTCCTTGGAGATTTCACATCTTACAGTGGTTTATGAAGAATCAAGGAAACATAATTGGGATAATGACATTACATGTTTCTGGAAGTATTGCTTTTCATATTTAATATACATACCAAGTGTGTTTAAATGCAAGACAGCAGGAATATTTATGTGGCTACAGTTTTAATAGATTGTACTAGAACTGGAATAGTCTTCAGTTTTTAAAATATGTTTGTTGTTGGAAAACAGCAGCTGTACTATTCCTCCCTATTAATGTGGGTTTTTTAAAGCTTTCATATGCATTCTATATATGCAGAAACACAGATGGAAGTTAGTAAGATACATTGTGAGCAAATTTTCCTGGTGTATGATATTACCCAGAGACATCACATTGTCAGTATTTTGAAGAGCCCCAAATGATGGGCAAACAGCAGCCAAAACCACATGAAATGTGAGAGTTCTTTTGAACAACTCAGACCTGGCAAATTCGTTTGCTTTTGCTGCTGTCCAAAATTAGCCTTGTTTAAGTAGAGAAATCAATAAGTTCAATCTTTTCTAGTTAAGACATACATTTTGGCAAGGGCACTAAGTGAAAGCATCTCGCTGCAAACTTGAAATCACTGAGGAGTGAGTGATGCTCCTAGGAAACATGTTATAAAGTTTATGGATACAGCAGACAAAGCATGCACGCCAATACGTTTTACAACTTCTTTCCCTCTTTTCAGACCGAAACTGAACAAATAAGTAAAGCAGCTATGAACTTAGCATATCTGGTCTGGTATTAAGACATAAGGTTCAGAGACATGACTAAGGCTGCAACCATTTTCAAACAGGGAGCAATGCCATTTAAATGTGCCTTATTTCTGAGTAAAATAATGACACATCCCTGCTAAACTGCTAATTTAATGAGGACTTCCTCCAGTTTTTTTGACATTAAATCCAGGGAACTAAAATAAATGCAAATTTGATGTATTTTGCTTATGCCAACCATGTTCTGCAAACCTTGAGACTACAGTAGGTTTATATGCAGGTAGATGGAAAAGTCAGCTGAATCCTGTTCAGAGAAGAGCAGGATTCTGTGATTTATATAAATTTTATCAGTTTGCTTAATTCATACTAGCTGGAAAGAAGGGCAAGTACTATGTAGCGGTCTTGTATCTAGTTACCTTATTACTGGTAAGCTTTTCCAAATTTGGTGTATTTTGACATTGACATTTGGACATTCATATTACACCAGTTTTACTCATGCAGTATGTGGTGATTCTGCACATTTGAAGACGGTGTGTTTAACGTTATGGAGAATTGTACTTCTCCCTTGAATTGCACAGGTCCAAATAGCATGTGTCTCTGGCCACCCAGAACCCCATGAGTTTAGCACTGAAGGCATGAAAGTGGTCTATTTGCCCCCAAACTCAGCATCTCCAATTCAGCCTCTAAATAAGGGAGTCATAAGGATCTTTAAAAGCAAAAGCGTGCTGCTTCAAGCACTCTCCGGGCAGTTTACAAGTTAATTATGCAGGCTACACATTGCCCGCCCCTAGCAAGCTGGGTACTCATTTTACCGACCTCGGAAGAAGGCTGAGTCAATCTTGAGCCGGCTACTTGGGATTGAACCCCAGGTCGTGAGCACAGTTTTGGCTGCAGTACAGCAGTTTAACCACTGCACCACGAGGCTGTTTAAAGTTGATTACACATGGTAGTGTATGGAAGGGATTGTCAGTCCTATGAAAAAGAACCCCCATTGAAAGAACTGCTCTGTACTGTATATGTATAAACACAACTCTGTTTAAAGCTGATTACACATGGTAGTGTATGGAAGGGATTGTCAGTGCTATGAAAGAGAACTGCCATTGAAAGAACTGCTCTGTACTGTATATGTATAAACACAACTATTTATGTTTTGTAGTTACATTTTTGCAGGCACAAAAATTATACGTGGATTTTGAACAACAAAAGGGGGCTGGTGCTCCTAACCCGAGTGTTGTTGAAGGGAGAAGTGTACACATGTTAGGCTTGAGTATAAGCAGTTTTGAATGTGCATAGGCAACATGCTGTGGTGACTGGCAGCTGAATAGCTGAATAGCTGAATGGTGGAATGTTGTGGGATTGTGATCTGGATGGAGTTAGTTGATATATGGCTATCTAGAGACCAGAACATTAGAGATGAAAGAAGTCTGTTTGACAGTAGTAATCTGCAGTATAATTTCGGAAGAGAAGTGCTGTTTATGGTAGTTCAAGTACTGTGTTTAAGATTGAAAATCTGTAATATAATTCTGAATATTATATTTGGATTTCACTTTTGTCATTACTTTTGTATTTTTGAAGGCTTTCATGGCTGGGATCCATCTGATGGTTGATGTAGTGTAGGGGTTTTTTCATTACTTTTGTCCAGGAACCTACCTTTCCCTTCATATCTATTACCTATAGTCCTTAATTAAAAATTCTATTTGATTGTTTGAACCAATATTAAGGAAAATATACCCATGTAACATGAAGCTATACTTTAGTACTAGGGACACAGAAACACTTCCATATAACACCTGAGTCATCTGGAAGACCAACTTAGCATGAAGAAGGTCCTGGGTGGGACAGTATAAAACCCAAAATACTTGTGAGAAAGTAGTTTTAACACCTTTTCTTGTGGCACCAAGGATTGGTGGCTAGGATTTTAAGTGTTAAGATATGAAAAAAGTGTCTAAGTGGTGACTGCAAGATCCTGAGGATGCATGACCTAGCTAGTGTAAAAATTACCAGAACAGCTCACAGTGAAGGCTGTTTTGGAAAACTAACAGCTAGAAGCCTGCTGTAAACACATTTAAAATCACACTTATGCAGATATTGAATCTCATACGTGTAAAATCATAGAACAGTTGCTATGAACACAGTTGACCATAGTATGAACTGGCTGCAGAAGAGCAATCTCCTAGTACTACCAACTACAGAGTATTTATGCAAATAATAATGGACTTATAAATATTAGTGTAGCGAACAGCCCAGCCCTGCCAGCGTTTGTCCGAAGACAGTTTACATGGTCACGTGACCGGCGCAACTAGAACAGAATGCTGTTACCTTCCCACTGAGGTAGTACCCTGGTGTATGTGGAGAGAGATTCTGTGAGTGAGAGACAGTGTGAAACTTAAAAGTGAACTTAGAGTTGGAGGCCTGTAAGAACACTGAATGGAACAGAGAGTTGATAGAGTTTTAAAGTAGAATTGACTTAGATACCAGTGATTGGCATCCTGTGATTTACCTATTGAATAATTATCCTATATGAACTTCCCTGATCTAATAACTTAAGTTTTAAAAGCACACATGTCTCCTTGAGTGAATGGTATTGAGGCAGAAATACCTGGTGGCAGCAAAGAAAGAAGGGCAAGAACCTCGTGAAGGTCTGGGGAAATAGGGGCTTCAGAGGAGATCATCACAATTAGGTAAAGGTTCCTCTTGACATTTAGCAGAGTATTTATGCAAATAATAATGGACTTATAAATATTAGTGTAGCGAACAGCCCAGCCCTGCCAGCGTTTGTCCGAAGACAGTTTACATGGTCACGTGACCGGCGCAACTAGAACAGAATGCTGTTACCTTCCCACTGAGGTAGTACCTATTTATCTACTCGCATTTACATGCTTTCGAACTGCTAGGTTGGCAGGAGCAAGCGACAGAAGCTCACATCATTGCATGGATTTGATCTTACGACTGCTGGTCTTCTGACCCTGCAGCACAGAGGCTTCTGCGGTTTAATCACAGTGCCACCACGTCCCTCTTATAAATATTACCCATGCCAAAAAAAAGGCTTAGCAAGTAAATCAAGTAAATTATCTGTAAAGCAAACAAACAGATGTAAGTGCTGATTTGCCTTGAATAGTCAGTCTGTTTTGTGTATGATGAGTTCCATTCAAGTAAATGAACATTGATGTAGACATAAAAAGTCAATCTAGCAATTGTAGGTTCTTCAAGAAAAGGTGCTAGATGCCTACCAGACCAATAAAGCAGCTTATAAACTTGATCACTGACATATCCAGACTGCCTGAATATTCTTGTAATAATTTCGATTCCAAAGAGTACACACATACTTTAAAAAAAAATCATACTCCAGATGGCACTTCAATTTTGGAAAAAACAACTGTTCAATTTGCAGTTTATCTAACTGCTGCTTTTGACTTTAGTACACTATTGGCAAGATTCAGTTCAAGTCAGGCCTTCCTCCTTCCTCTCCAAAAGGCACCGTGCCACCAGTTATATAGGGAATACTCTTGTGCCAGTAGAAACAGAGAAACCAGAAGTTTGTTATTGAACCTGGCCTTATATTTATTACATTCAGTTCCAGGGTCACAGTCACCACTTGCTTTTTCTCATAAATAACTTCAGAAGTAGATACAGTTACAGATGCTGCTGCTTAAATACTTTTTAAAGCCTCTTTTGTTTCTGGATTGAATGCATCTGCAATTCAACAAACAGAAATTTCTAGTCCTGTTACTTTTCCTTTGCATCTTCCATTTCCATTAGGAGCAGGGAAGCCTGCCAGTTCCCAGGCTATGGCCTCACAAATGTTGGCCACAAATACACTGGCAGCAAAAAAGCTATTCTGAAGGTTTCCTCGAAAGTTAGTACAGTATTTTAAAAGAACTCAACTTCTATGCTTGCACAACATATTCAGAGAGACCTAAACTTAAAAGTGTTCCAATACTCGACTCTCCTTTAAGCCAACACAGGTTTATGGGCTATTGGCAGTAGCACAAAGTCAGTATTCACAAGTGGCTCCACATGCGACAGCATTAATTGTGGCCCTTGAAGGGAAGCCATGCATAGCCCCTGGCCTACCCAGCTGTATGGGGAAAAGGAGGCCATGCAGGCTAAGCTGTAATACATCACACACCAAATACTGTTGCCAGTCTTTCCTTTAGACAACTGGAATTGATGCTGGTGTGGAGCTTATTCCTTGATCTTCTCTCCAACAACACTATCCATTAGAAAAGAGGCAACAGCAAGCGATTGTAGAAGCCAGCCATGAATATTGTTAGCAGGTATCCCTCCAGGTGAACAAAGACTGCATTTTGACCATCGCATATTAAATACATCATATAAGTGGATGCTTCCTAGATCAAACAGTGTAAGGTATTACCCTTTGAAGTGCATCTCCCCACCCCAAACTGTTGCAAATGCCTTGTGGAGATCTGTGCATGTTACATATGCAAGAGACACACCACAGAACACACTGCTGAAAATATTTATCTGATGTATTCTTCAATGATGCTTGATTCATCTTCCACTGTACTTTCCTCTAGATCTGGCAAGTTGCCCCAAAGCAAAAAGTTTGCACCTGAAAAAGAAATGCAAACAAATTCATTTGTACTCTTTGACCACAATTTAAAAGTGACTGAAAATCCCCACAAACATGAGCAGATAACAACAACAACAAAAAAAATCCCATAATCCTATTCACAACTTTTGTTGCTGTTGTTTAGTCGTTAAGTTGTGTCTGACTCTTTGTGACCCCATGGACCAGAGCACTCCAGGCCCCCCTGTCTTCCACTGCCTCCCAGAGTTTGGTCAATCTATAGCCTTGTCGCACTACTTTCCCGATTTTGAACCAATCAGTTGTTCCATATCTATTTCTAACTGTTGCTTCCTGTCCCACATATAGGTTTCTCAGGAGATAGAAAAGGTGGTCTGGCACTCCCATTTCTTTGAGGACTTGCCATAGTTTGTTGTGGTTGACACAGTCAAAGGCTTTTGCGTAGTCAATGAAGCAGAAATGGATGTTTTTCTGGAACTCTCTGGCTTTCTCCATAATCCAGCGCATATTAACAAGATACTAAGTCAGGGTTAGTATCTAATAAATCTTTACATAAGTAGTATCTAATAAGGAAATCCATAATTTCTATCATCCTTCTATTGAAATCTCACCATCTAGTACAAGGCTAACAGCCAGTCTTTTCAGATTGACTCCTGTAAATAGTTGCAGAGAGAAGAGAGACTTTCAACAAGTGGACAAAGGACAGCAAGACTTGGAAAATCTGCAATTCTGAAAGTTCACTCTTCTGCATCAGAAGATGCTCCAGGGCTGGCCATTCTCATCTCAAGTTCAAAACCACTTATTAGTCTTAACAAGCATAGGCCCACTGAATAAATGGAAATTTGGGAAGCATAATGACTCAGATGCTGAGATCCTGTTACTTAGCATATTAAGTTGCGTTAGGACAGGCTGACTGAAACAGCAAGAATTTGTGAGTCAACTCTTCCATACGTTCTGTTGATTCAAAGGGGCCTATCCTAGTTGCGACATAGTACCTCTTGTGGTGTACATTTTCTTGAGGCACCTTGCTGTAATAAAAACATTTAAGTCAGAACTATATAAGAGGATAAAGAAAAAAAGGAAGTCTTTGATGAATGAAATGTTTCATACCAGAGGGATCCAGCCTGTTTATTCCAAAAACGGCTTGGCTGTGAAACATCCAGAAGTGTCCATTGTTGCAGGAGAGTAAGCAAGGTTTGCATGGAGCAATCACATGGTAACCTACGACATTGCCGCTAGAAGAAAAAGAAGAATATCTGGCATGCAACTTCTTAGGTGAAATGACAGACAAAAGTTAACGTTACAAGAACTAGAGGTATATAAAAACACTCTGAGTAAATGGCAAATTAATAAAATGGGATTTTCCACCATCTATTAAAACTGACCATGGCTGTTTGATTAAATACTGAGAAAAATTCCTTTTAAAAACAGTACAGAAATATATCAAACAGGGAAAAACCTAATTCTAATAAAACACAGTATAAGAAATAATAAGCAGAGCAACGCAAAGCAGGGATGAGGAGGAAGGAAGGTGGACCAAACCACTGGATTCTGAACATTGCCACTTTGTGCTAGCTGAGGCAGAAACAAAGAGTAAATTAGGAAAAAATATATATATTGTGCCAGTTTCAGGCTAAAGTAGCAGATAAACACAAATCAGGCTCATTCTAAGAGTGGCTTTGGATCCAGCATACCCAAAGCTGGTTCCTCCCTGGATCCTGGCCACATAACAACCATATGAGGGCTTCCTGACTGAGCACAAGAATATTCCCTGCCCCAGTAAAGAAGCACCAATGTGCTATTGGGATCCAATTTGTTCATTCCGATTTGTACGAGGATCCAAATCTTAATCCCCCAAATGTTGTGCTACCCATTGATTTGTATAAGGAAACTAAAGTAGTCATAACTTTCTTATTTTTTCCCCATATGAGATCATGGAATCTGGTGAATAACTGCCAAACTGCAGGCCAGCCATCCCATTGGCTTCTCTGCCAAACTTATTTAAATTTGTTTTGCTTTCCCACAAAAGTTAATGAAATGAAGAAATAAGGTAGAAAATTATTTTAGAGGAAATTAACTGCGGCCTACTGCAAACAAGTTGTCTGAGGGTGTATTTTTGTGTATGCATTAATATTTTTCAAGTTTTCTAATGAGTGGTGCTTTTGTGCACGGCGGTAGTGGTGTCTATGATGTATGTGTGCTGCTTGTGTATGGGTAAGCAACACACTTACACAATATACATATACACGATAGGAAAAAAGTTTTTGAAAGCACTTAACAACATTAGACTGGAGCCAAATCAAAGCCAAACCTTAAAATCTTAGGCCAGAAGAGAAATGGGGGTTAAAAGGATAAAGAGAATGTTACAAACTTATAAAACTGTTACTGAAATAATACTGGGACTAACATACAGAGTTTCTCAATTGAATAATACAGTGTGGGAAAGTGAAAAAAGATTAGGAAAGAACGATGGAAGTTTAATAACTGTCCTCAAGCTAAAGAATACCCACTACTGTCCATCTCTCCAGGCACCATTATTAAAGAATGATTTCAAGGGTTTTGCTCCACATGAGAAACGATGGCTGCCAATGACAGCTCCAGCTCTCCTCTGCCCCCTGTCGGAGCATTTTTGTTTTGCAGTATTTTGGAGACGCACTGTCTGGTCTTGCTTTATTATCCACATCACCCAATCCATCTAAAGCAATTCAGATCCATTTCACGTCAGGGTCCATTCCAAATCAGTCTGGATTAGCCCAGTTTTATATGGGACTCAGCCAAATTGGCTGCAGAGTCCGATAATGTGCCATTCTAACTCCCCCAACTTTCAACATTGTGGTGTTAGGAGTGTCCTCAAAAATATGCACCTGACAACGTTCTTTTGACAGAAATATTTACAATGGGTAGGGTCTATGAAAACACTTGACTCATACATAATGGCTGTGAAAATAGGCACCATTTTCATTTCTAGGTCATCAAGCAGCTTAGCTGTAAGTAGAACTCTAGTGAAAATACTTTGGGCCTATACTTGTCATATAACCCAAGCAAATGTCAAATAATTAGCCTAGCTTCAAGCTTTTGGGCACAAATGTACAAAGGAGGAGAGAATACAAAGCTGCCTGATTCTGAACATTATACTGAAACTATAGCATTACTTACCATTTCAAACAAGCAATATTTTTTAGTTTACACTTGCAGATTTTTGTGAAATAGCAGTGCCCAATGAAGTCCACGGTGCTGGTATGGATTAGAGAAGAAATATATTGCAGTTACTTGAAATGAATTTTGTTGTGGTTTCGCATTGTTAGCTGTGAAATATTCTGGTAATTAAAGTACCAACAGTGTTATCACCTTTGCTTTTGTCATTTCTTTGTATTTTCATTTTTCTAAAAGCCATCATAAGCCTTTCTATAGTTAAGGTGATATAACATAACAATATCAATGTTTAATGCCACCTAGAGTGGTCCGGTGATCCAGATAGGCGAGGTATAAATGAAATAAATAAATAAATAATCTTTGGTTTAAAAGCACTTTACCAAGGAGTCTTTTTCATATACTATCTCTCCAAAAATTGATCAAACAAAGTAGTCCTTTGGAGAAACACTTTAACCAGTTCTGTAAAATTCTGATGTCCATGACTGAAATATTACCTTTTACATATGGAATGCAATTTTGTTCTAATTAAGACAAGCCCTATTTATTTTTATTTCCCAAAGTGAATTGTGCCTGTAACTATTTTACTTACATTAGGATGATAAACGTAGTGTGAATAACAGTTTCATTGTCATGAGAAAGCATATTAACAATTAATGTTTAGGTATTAAAATCTAGGAAAAAGAAAAGACTGCTAGAATAGCAGAGTGACTGTTTTAAGACAAGACCACTATTCAGGGTCACATCTCATTAGGATATTTGCCCTCCAGATGTTTTGGTCACAATGTACACAATTCCTAAACACTGGACACGCTGGCTGGGGCTTTACAGAGTTGTAGCCCAAAATAAATGGAGAAAGCCAAGTTGTTTACTACTTCTGTCCTTTAGCAGAAAATGTTGTAATAGATTAATTTTTAATACCACCCTAGCCACCTTATACAAGGATCCATACTAGAGTTAATGGACTAAAGATTTCACAGGAATTCCAGTGCTAAATGCAACATACTTCAAGGTTATAAGCCTAAGCACAGCTGCTAACAGTAGGGCAAGCTATGCAGAGGCAAGTTCTACATTTTTCAGAGTAAACATGCATTGCAAGTCTCTGAAATGGAGGTGGTGGTTGTGGCAGTAGCCAGATAGCTTGAAAAATATGCAAGCCCCAGTGCTTTCCCCTCTTGTCTTTTCTATATTTACACCTAGATTGGTACTCCTAGTCTTCTTTCCTTCTCTTCTCTCTAAGCAAAGAAAACAAGCAATAAAAAAAATGGAATGACAGATTAGCAAATAGCTAAATGGCCTTTCAGACTACCGTTTCATCTATCCAGCAATTCAAGAGTATTTTGAATATTCATATATGCAGTGCAAACATTGGTAGTCATAACGAAGTACATCCAACATTTGCAACGTTGTTTCAGTCAATTATTTCTTGACACTGTGTGAGACAATAGAACAGTTTGTCTCCAAGCTCTGTATGTATGGTTACATTCCCAATCCATAGTTTTGAAATTCAATTTTTTGATTACTACATGCCAAGTCCATCAGCCATTCTAAACACTGGCCATCTTTATGATGAAATTATTACAGTTGTAGTCCAAAAACACATTTTTCTAAGTGGTGCCCAGTAAACATACTAAAACGGTATCAATTACTGCAATATTTCTTCAAGAATTGGTCAGCTTACATTACTGAATACAGCAATTATATTTCCATTTCTCACTATGTTACTGATGGATATGGGTTCAGCTGACAACTGCTACCACTCAATAAGCAATGAACTATAGAAATAGGATGAGGTAAACCAATGTGGAAGATTTAAATCAATTTTAATTCTACACGTAGTGTGCACCAAACACATTGACAGCATCTCAGAAAATAATTGAAGCTACATCTCAATGTGAATTGTTTTCAATTTTAATTAATTAATGTTAATTAAAAGTATATTTCATTGCTTACTAATAAAATAACTACTGTTATTGCCTTCCTGAGCAGAAGCAACACTTTTGCTGTATAATTCACCAGAAATACTTTTTCCCTGACTTGGTTTATGTGAGACAGTTCTTAATTTTCCACTGCTAGCACTTGCCACAGTAGATGTATACCAATGCTGAGTTATAGTGTTGCTATTCTTAACCTGCTGTTCAATAATGTAGACTTTTCACTAGCCTAGTATAAAAGATACTCTATCTCAAACACAGAATTGAAAGAATTCTGAATTCATAAATTTGTTTTGAGAACCAGAAGTGAAGAAAGCCTGCAGTACTTGAACACAAAAAGGCACACTGGGTTATCCTAGGTTTCTTCATTTTAGCAGAATCAATAACATTTTTATTCTCCACTTTTCAACAATATTAAATTTTCACCTTCAAGTTTAGCCACTCCACCCTAACAGAATATACCTGGCTTCTGTGCTATTACTACAATATGAAGAAACCAATAGTGGTAAATTATCTCCTGAGGCAACAAAACATGGCTTCCATTTGTAACACCTCAGCAACTACAACATTGTTTCAATCTGCTTATTAGGCATCACTTGGATTTTTTTTCCTGGGTTAATAGCTGAAGCATAAGGTTTGAAAGTCAATATATAATTGTTCAATAAAAAATACAGAAAAACATACATATTTTCTTATTAAGAATGAATATCAGCCTCTGGAAGATAGCTATGAAAATACTACTACCATGGCAACCATAGAGGATTTTAAAAACACACACACAAAAACAGTAGAGCAGTGGTTCTTAACCTGCTACTCGGATGCTTTTGAACTGCAACTCCCAGAAACCCCAGTCAGGACAGCTGGTGGTGAAGGCTTCTGGGAGTTGCAGTCCAAAACTCCTGAGTAACCCAAGGTTAAGAACCAGTGATCATACAGAAAAACATACATATTTTCTTATTAAGAATGAATATCAGCCTCTGGAAGATAGCTATGAAAATACTACTACCATGGCAACCATAGAGGATTTTTTAACACACACACACACACACACACACACACACAGTAGAGGAACATCTTCTGCTGAGATGAAGAAAAGTTAAGTTAACCAAGTGTGGATTTTTGTGTTTAAAGACTGTGAGGTCTGTTCACCACTGGTTCTCAAAATAATTTCCTGGCTCAGAACTCTTGAATTCTGTGCAAATATTTTGTACCAGGCACTACTAACAGATCTCAGGATGCCAATAAAAAACATAAATAAATTAGATCTTGCATGTCTGAAGTTTGCCCACTCCTGCATGAAAACATAAGCATGTGTACACGTGTGCACATGTAACCTGTCATGTGGTGTACATGCCCTGTATAGAAATGAGGGCAGATCAAATTTTTTATGCATCATATGAATTGCTTGCAAACATACTGCTGAATTTTGGGAAGGTGTGCTGTTCTATCCCAAGAGTACCATCACTTTGGGATAGCCTCTATTTGCGTCATTTTTATTTATGTTCGTATGCTGGGGAAATTAAATTTGGGGCACTTCTCAATCTCAAAAGCACTGAAGTTCCTATGTATATTAGCACTATAGCTACTTCAAAATTTTTTGCCTTCTAACACTTTCTCTCCTCCCCCCTTTTTTTGCAGTTACTTTGAATCACAACCACTGAAGCTTTTGGGTAGTAGATACTGTATCTTTCTGTGGTTTATATGCAATACTTTGTACTTTTGACTGTTACCACAACCAATAGACCAGAAACTGACTAAGGGAAATGAAAGTGACAGTTCCAGCATAATGCCAGTACAGTACACAATACTGAACTGTAGTGTGGGTGGAATAATCCCAACATTAGAACCATTTGTTTTTCTATCATACTTTAAGCTGATTGACATTTTAGGACAGTTGCCAAGCTGTCACAAGCCAGCCTGAACAAAAACCTCTATGCATTTGGGCATTGGGGGAGACTGCTTTTTTGGATCTACAAAACCGGTAAAGTACTTGCCAAAGCACAATAGAAATGGGTTAAATTTAGATTGCTGAGTAAGGCTTATTCTGGGAAACCCCCAATATATTCCTCTCTCAAATGCTGAATCTTTACAAACAGAAAAATTCCATGTCCAAACCCATTTGCAAGTTTGAATACTTCACCATAATTGGTCATGAGGCAAGCTCCCCCCAGCACAGCTAGAGCTTAAGGGGTGCAAGGAAGGCCCAGTAGCTCATGGGTTTTTCTTTCATTGTTTCACTACCACTTCCCAGCATCCATTGCAACTGCTGTGCTCTGCTTTAATAGTAAAGCCAGCCCTGACACTTTGGCTGAAAGCTTCCTGCATTCCACCCCCATGGTTTGACCACTTCCTTTCACCTCATGTTATGCAAGTATCATAAGGTTGCATTAAATATAGAATTTTGATCCCAATCAAGATAAATTACTGCAATTTACTGGCAACATAAAACATCCTTAGAATTTCTTACGGGTCCAAGATTAGAAGCAAAATATTAGATTTGAAATGTCATCAGATTCTAAATGCCCCCAGACCCCCACATTGACTCACCTGGTGGGAGGGATGTCTGTGGAATAGAGATCTGTCTCAGTGTCAGCCAGGAGCACAGCTTTCATGCCTCGTGAGCTTAGCACTTGTTGACAGAACTTGCAGCACAGCAGGGAGACACACCTGTCAGCGAAACTGCAACTGCTGGTGGACATGGCAAAGTCAGTCTGTGCCAGAGGGGACTCCAGTAAGTATGTTGCTGTGCTTTTTCTCCCAATAGGACAGATACAGGTATTGTCTTCCTTCAGGAGCAAAGCTACTCTTCTCCAGTTAACTTTCCTGCTCTTGTCTTTTTGGTGGATCTTCACTCACATCGAGACGTTGGTTTCCCTAATTCACAACCAACAGCACAGATTCAAGCACCCACCTTGAAGAAGATCTGCCAGGCATGGCATACTTCAGAAAGAAAATTAATTACTTGATCATAGAAAATTCGTCTCGGGAATCCTGGTGTGTGGAGACTGATGATATGCAAACGCATTAAATAAACAAGTAAATAAATGAACTTCTATAAGTATGCAAGGAAAACAGTGATGATGGGAGGGAGCGCAAGGTTTTAAAGTTTGACTAATACCCCAATAATTTTAAATAAAAGCCACTGGGGCTCTCACCATACAGTACTTTCTCCAGTCTCTCAAGAGTGTTGCCTCAGCCAAGGTACAATCTTTCCTTTCTCTCTCCCACCCAACCCTCTCTCCGATCAGCTTCCCAGCCTTCAAGGAATAGCCACAATTCCCCCCCTTGATATGATTCCCCACTGTCTCAGAAGCCTTCGTTGCTTCTCAGCCCGAAGATCCGGATCTTTGTACCTCCCGCCAGAGCCCCCAAGATGGATGCTACCCCTCGCTTTCTCTCTCCCCTATGTGCTCCGGACCTCCTCAGAAAACTGCGCACCTCCTGCCAGTCCCTTATCAAGTTTGAATCTGTCGTCGTGTGTTTCATTGGAGGAAATCTAACCCGCCTCCAGAGCCTGATTGGCAAAAACGTCTCCCCTGTTAACCAATGGAGAAATTAGGCCACGCTCCCGCCTATCGACAGAGGTAAGAGGTGGTGGGGGAGAATGAAGTCCCGCCCCTAACTTTCGATTGGTCGAATTAGGACTTATATTTACATGTACCGCCCCTTCGTGGACACAACCCGTTGGGCTGAGCTTCTAAGTCTCAGAGCCTCCTGAATGGTCCTCCTTCTCCTTCTCTGGGCGGTGCCAGTACGGAAAAGTGGCGGGACCAGGGCGGTAAAGGGAGGAAGCTGTGCGTCGCCGATTGGCTAGGAAAACTGCCAGTCTTCCAAGTCTTCGCTTGTGATTGATGCTTCTTTTTGGAGTGGGCGGGATTTTTAGAGTCGGGCTGCGGAGGGAACGTTGACCGCGGGAGAAGCCTGAGGGGGAAGCGACTCGAGGGAAGCCGGTCCCGTCTGTGCCGCGCGGCAGGTAATAGTTGCGTCCAGGATGAAGGAATCCGAGGTCGTGTCCCGTTCTCGCGTTAGGATCCGGCACAGTTTCCCCACTCCCATAATATTCCTTAGCGGGATCCGCCCGTCCGCCTTGAGAAAGCTGAGCATAATGAGTGAATGTGTACTAACCTCCCGCCCGGACAGGAAGCCCATTCGGGAAACAGCGCTGCTTTTTTCGAAGGCTACAGCATTTCCCCCCAGCCCATAATACTCCCGCCCCACCACCCGCTTTGGGCACAAAGTAAGGCAGGAGCAGACACGGTCGTGTGGGAGACGTCCTCTTGTCCAGGGACAGAGGATCGATGCCCATCCCATAATATTTCCCAATGCGGCAAGCGGGGGAATCTGATCTTCGTGTCCTGTGTCGTGTTCATGAGGAAGAAGGACTCTCGCAGACTCAGCAAAGACGCAGTTTTCTGGAAGGACTGTTAACCCGTCCCGAAAACGATGTTGTTGATGTGCCCTTTAATGCTCTAACGAGCTCTTTCGGAGGGTTGACTTTCCATAGCACCAGGGAGTAACTTTTCAAGAAAGTTTCCACTTAAAACAACAACAACAAAACAATACGGCACCAGTTCTTCCTGCTCCTTTTCCTCGAAAGTAGCCCAGCTTTTTATATTGCTTTCCCCCCTAAAATTTAGTTCTCCGTCCATACTAAAATATTCCCTGGTGAGCAAATGCTTATTTCCTGTGGCGTGATTGTTCTTTCCCATTGTGCATAGCTGAAAAAGCGTTGGCTCCCTCCTGTTTATTTGCCAGACAAGCTATACATCCAACTGTGCCCTCAGGCCATACACCCTGGCTGTTCCTAGACTGGCAACTCTTACTTTTTAACATCCTCTTTCTGATAGGTTTTGCAACCAAAAGGAAAGGCAGGCATAGCTGCCAGCTTTCGTGGACAATTTTGCAACCCACCAACAAAATGCAGCCCATCAGCTTCTATGCTGCTCCACTAAGGTCTCAGTAAGTCACTGGCTAAGGGCTGCAGAGAAACAAATTATCAAGAGGCAGATGAGTAGGTGAACATTTCATTCCTGTTTATTTTTATTGAGAATTTACTACAGTAAATGCATCTGTACAAGACAGTAAGATTTGCCTATTGTAGAGCCTGGGAGAATTAACATTTAAAACCACAGTACCAAGGTTGCTCTGCCATTATGATCATTACTCCAAGAATCTGAATAGTGCCTCAATTTGACTTCCTACATATGGTCTATCTCCGAATCAGACGAGCTAGAAAACAGTTTGGCAGGTCATATATTTTGGAGAAGAGAAAACACCCTGATCCATCAAATTCGCATTAGATCTATCTCCCTAGTTTTAGTGAGTGCTTTAAAGATATATTCATTATTTCTTTGTAGCTTCTTGATAGGATGTGTTCTAGAGTTAGCCAAAAATAGACTTCAACTCCTTTGGAGGCAGCCACACTTTCTGTGTTTTCATCAAATGCTTCAGTTCTGACTTGGTTATCATTTACTGTTTCCTGTCTCGGTGACCACATTGTTCATCTGTGGGTGTGCATCCAGGTTTTTTCTTTCCCCAGCCCCCTCTTCACATTTGCCAACAACAGTAGCTTGTAATAAAAGAAAAGTTGTGCCCTGACTTTCCACTTCTGAGAGTTTTGCATCTTGTCTTGCCCACACTGAACTGAGCTGCTTTTCCTGGCTCCAAATTGGCTTTGATGTCTGAGGCAAATGTCTGCCCCCCCCTTTTTTTCATTCTCAGTGTAGTGGACTTCAAATCTGAAAAGTTAACAGTGATACATACACCCCCTCCCAAAATGTGTTCTGTTGGCTGGACCAAGGACTACAGCCTCAGGGGAAACCAAAGGGATTAATCTTGTTTATACAGTGGCTTGTGGATTCATTTGTGAGCCCCTGTAGGTCATGTAATTGGAGGATTAGGATCTGACTTCTCTCTTTAGCAGATCATGTTGCTCTGTCTCTAGTTCTTTCCCTTCATGCTTAGTTTAAATATCACTTCCCCCTTTATTTTGAATAGGTAGAGTGTTCCTTTGTCCCTCTCTTTATTTTCTTGAGTCAGTTTTATACTAATGGTATCACCTTCCCTAATCTACCCAGAATGTAGGTATTTCACTTTTTTCTTGTGTTAAGATGTTATTTTTCACTTCTTCTGTGGCTTAAATAGGTAACATTTATAGTTAGGATTCCTATTTTTAACTTGCATTTGTTATGTATTTTTAACTGGTTGACAATCAATTACATATTTCACTTTACAGGCTCTTGGACTGAAGAAAGTGACTTTGAAGCTTTTGTTTCTTCTATCATTTGGGATTTAATTTGCATCATCTCTGACGCTATCTTTTTAAAAAAAGCAGCAAGTCAAGCCCACACAACATGTTGTTGCGCAGAAGGACTTCCACTCCCTGGCTGTGCTGTTAATGTTAGCAATCAGGAAAAGCCTTTGGGGGCTGCAGATCCTCTCTAGTCTGATGCTACTGCTGCCACCGCTGCTGCTAAGGGGTTTGGTGCAGGGAATCCAAACTGCTGCCTTTTCTGTTCGCTGATCTCTTCACATCTGCATGTCTCTGCTGCTCGCATACACACCATCTCACACCCTGTCTCCATGGACTGATTGCCGTTGAGGGAAGGCGAGCCCCACTACGTGATCCTTTTTAGGGGAGAAAGAGAAATTGCATTTATCTCTTGTAATCTGGAAGATCTGTTCCGAGGATAGTCCTTTTTTTGGGGGGGGGAAGGAAAACATGACGTCGCCAGCTAAATTCAAAAAGGATAAGGAGATCATAGCAGAATACGACACTCAAGTCAAAGGTGAGGTCTTTTTTTTTAAAAAAGGCATATATATTTATTTATTCTGCACTGTATGTACAATGTCTGTTTCTGAGTGTCTTTCAGTTGCAACTTGCAAATACAGGCACTCATACTATATGGGTGTGGAAGAGAAAAGCATTTACAGATCGTCAGGAATTTGCACTGCTTTTCAATAGTGCAGTTTTAGAAGGGATTGACAGTGAATGTTGCTTTATGGGTTGGGTTCTTGATATACCACCATATTTTTTATACATTTTTGATTTTTTGACACTTTTATGGCTTACTGTAAATATATGTATATGGTGAAAAATTATTTATGTGTTTAAAATGTAACATGAAATCTGTTCATATTTGATTGTAAATAGTACCCTCCCTAGAGAAATTTATGTGTTCACTTAAGAAGCTTTGTTGCTTGGCAGTATTGTGGATTTTGGCTTATACAGTAGGAGCTTTTTGCAACTGTATGCACCAAAAAGCTTTCACTCTTCATAAACGCCTCCTGTATGTGCATGTTTCTCACACCCCTGGCAGCTGGCTGCAACGCCCTTCAATTTAAACTGGATCTGCGCAATGATAAATTGTTTTAGGGATTCCATGGTTGCTGGGGGTTTTTGGTGCAAGATGTGCGTATAAAGGCCATGTATGCTATGTTTGCAACAACAACTTGATAGGCATGCTCCATGCAATAATATCATGATGACATTAGGAGAGTGGGCTTGGTTTCACACCATCACATGTCCTGGGTGGCACAGTAAAGAGATGCTTGCCTAACTCTTTTGTGTCTGCAGAGTTTTTTTCAGCATAACCATGCATGTGTGTGTTGCAGGATCTTGCTCTTGCTTAGGTACAGCCTGACAAAAATCCATGTTGATGGGGTGAACTTTGAAACACTCATTTGAATGTGAAGTGCATGATATGCTTTGTATGTGTACAAAACAGGACAAACATACATAGAGTGGCTTTGAGTTTGCCGAAAATTAACTAGGCTTTAGTTGTGAAGTATATGTGCAATAGGTCTTGGTCTTCTGCTGTATAAGCAAATGTGAATTTGTGGGCTTAGCATATTCTGTCTTTACCAGTTTCCAGCTCTCTCTGTTTCACTGAAAAAGCAATACATGCTATTTTTTGTTTAAAAAGAGGTTACAAAGCATGGATCATAAATAGCTTTTAAAAGAAGTGTTTCAGGATTCCTGGTTTTGAGGCAGTAGCCAGTCAAAGCATTTTTGTCCTCCCCTCCTCCTCCTTCCAATGTTAATGTAATCTTTTGCTTTGCGAACTAGCAACTAGGGCTTTCCGAATTCCGATGGCCAACAGGAGGCACTGACTCAGAAAAGCATGATCTCCATCCAGCAATAGATTGCTGTCTAGTCTGGAAGGGCAGGTGGTCTTAAAATGCAGTGTTCAAAATATATGCGCAAGAGACTTGAATTTCCTTTGTTTCAGGATACAGCAGGGAGGGTTCCCTCCTCCAGCTTGTTGAAACAATGCAAAAGGCGGTTGTTCTCTACAAGTGATTGCTCATGTATTGTGTTGTCAGTATTTGGGGGAAGGCATTTAAGATAGGCAAGAAAAGGACAAGATATGTTTTAACATAAGCCTGCTGTTTTGTTCATAGACCTGGATGGCATCTTTGGAAGGAAAG